CACAGGCCCACCGGGTGGCCCTAAGTGAATGGGCCCCCATAGTTTGCGGGCAGAGGGCAAACAGGGCAGTTACCTCGGGCCCCACAGCAGGGACAGGGCCCGGGGCAGCTGCCCCGTTTGCCCCGCGTTAAAGACGGCCCTGAAACAAACAAACAAAATGTCATTTAACAAGCATTTCTTCATTTCATTCAGTGTAATTTGTATTCATCCATTCATCGTTCTGACAAACCCTTGAAAATATTGGACGAAAATGTGCTCGTCTGAATACGAATGTCCAAGTCTAATACCATTGACTACACAGTATTGTTGAAGCAACACTGACATCTAGTGGTTAGATCTATTAATTATTGAGTGATAAAAAAATGACAGTGCACAAGATGTACACTCTGTCTCTTTCTGAAGTGAGGAAGTACTCATTATCTCTAAGAAAGAAATGTTACACCTAATCCTAATCTGTAACTTTAACCATAAATACAATTCCTCATTTACATGCCTAACTGTAAAACTAAATAGAATATCATAACACTAAATACATTTGTGGTTGAGTGAGTACTAACCCCCAAATGTAAATGTCCCACTTTGTGCAGTATCACTTAGAGGTTTTGCCTGCATATTGTGAGCAAGCCCTTATAAGGGGTTTCACCGCATTGTAAATTCACTATGAGTTGAGCATCCATGGGGATGAAGATTTTTTTTAATTCCAGATATTAGTTTTATATTGCCCAACCTCCCCTCACTTTTATTGGAGTGAAGGGGTAGGTAGGGTAGCTTTTTTCGAAGTCCTTTGCTAATGGCATGTCGACCACCCTATTTTATATTTAATTAGAGCCCGATCCACCATCCATGGGTGGAGGCTGAGGGGGACCCTTGCTTCCCCTGGCATTATAATTAGAGCCATCTACAGCTGCCTATGGGTGGAGACTAAGGGGGGCACTAGGTCACCTCTTGTATTATAATTAGAGCCCCAAGCAGCCAACTATAGATTAAATTAGGCCTCCCTGCCTTGTAATACGGTATATAATTTTTTATTTAATAGCCCCACCCTACTGGCCACAGGTGGAGGCATGGAGTGGACAGTGATTTGTTCACCCATTAATATTTGATTTAAATTTCCCTACCAAAGGCCCAGATGGACCAGGTCCCCCTGTTAATTTACACCCCATCCCTGTGGGCAGCAATGGCTGACATTTAACTAGTTTATGTTTAGTAGATCTGCCCTCGTCTGCTACATGGCAGGTTGGGCATAAGGGAGGAAAAAGAGGAACAGAACAGCGCTAAGTAACTAGAGGGGAAGCAGCACACCTAAACGGGTAAATTCTCTCCTAAGAATACAAAAGAAATGATAGAAAAACAAAACAATAGGGTGTGCCAAGGGGTAAAGGATAAAATAAGAGTAAATAAGACAGTAAAAATTGAGCAAAATATACAAAGTCCTATGGGTGACAATAAAACGTATACTCAATGATAAAACCTAAAGTCCAAGATAAAGTCTTACTGACAATAATACGTGTGAGCCTGGTAGGGTTTGCTTGTATCCTCAGGTTTGTGTGCCATCCAGATGTTCAGAATCCAGGAACATATAAAAAAGAAGAAATGCTCCAATAGTATAATACATTCAGAATAAAATATAGCTGTGAAAAAGGAAATCCAAATGGCCCACTCACATGGAATAGAGCTAAAACCAGCTCTAGTATAGTGCGTTTGCAGTGGATTTAATCCCCCACTTCAGGGATGTTGATGGGAGGTGTCAGTCAGCAGATAATTTAGCAGCAGGGTATATGTAAAAAATAAAAATGTGCAACAATAGTGCTCTCTGTATAAAATATAATAAACCAGGAGTAAAACTAAGTAAATTGTACTCACATTTACATGAGCAGATGGCCCGCTCAGTATAATTAGCTTAGGTGGTATAATCCCCACCTGGGATACTTGGTGATGTACTCACTGGAAAGATAATCCACAACATGTTTCACCCACAATGGGCTTTATTAACACTTGATTAATTTAACTATTACTTTTTTTTTATAATAAAGGTTTTGGCCATTTTTTACATATAGATTGTGCCATATACCTTTTTTTTTTGTTACCTGGCATCCTGATTTTATCTTTCCAGGGGGATTAAATCCACTGCAGACGCACTATACTAGAGCTGATTTTAGCTCTATTCCATGTGAGTAGGCCATTTGGATTTCCTTTTACACAGCTATATTTTATTCTGAACATATTACACTATTGGAGCCTTTCTTCTTTTTTATATGTTCCTGGATTCTGAACATCTGAATGGTACACAAACCTGAGGATACATGCAAACCCTACCATACTCACACGTATTATTGTCAATAAGAATTTATCTTGGACTTTTGGTTTTATCATTGAGTATACATTTTATTGTCACCATAGGACTTTGTATATTTCGCTCAATTTTTACTGTCTTATTTACCCTTATTTTATCCTTTACCCCTTGGCGCACCCTATTGTTTTGTATTTCTGGGCATAAGGGAGGTCTACAATCTCCCTTCTAGTGCACATTGACCCCCATAAGCTAATTTTTTCATTTTTACATTAGCAAGCTCTGGTCAACCACCACATGGTTAACTTTCGCACCACTGAGGGTTATTTAACTATTTGAGATTAATGGTCGGCTTACATTTGGTAAATAAACTATGATTATTACCAAATTTTGGCAGAGCTAAGTAGATAGATAAATAAATGAATTCAAAACAACTTAAAAGAAAAAATATCATTAGACAAATGACCAAACATTCTTTCTGTGCACATCTCTAGTTGCAGACAGCAGGTGTCACAGTTCTCTGCAGGAGAACTTAAAGGAACACTCTGGATATATTAAATTTTTTTATATTTTTTGCACACCAAAAAATAAAACAAATGTTTTGCAGAATGCTACACTATAATCCAGGCACCAGAACACCAGAAAGATTTTTTTTTACCAAAGGTATGCATGCAGTTTAGCTTAATACAGTTAGAGAAACTTGAAAGGGAATGATATCCTTACTATATGCCTCCATGGGTGTCTTCTCCTTATGCCTTCTAAGAGGCAGGCTTTACTTAACTAAAGTGTTTATGATGTTTGGGGGGCTATTGTGAATCCTGTGCAAATTTGGCGTCAGTCGCCAGCACACATGGATGTTAGTGCCATATTTTATGATCAATTACATGTAGCTCGGGTCAGATTGAAATTTTTCCTTTAGAGGGATGCCTATTTAGTAGAAAAGCCAAGATGGCTTTTCTATACAAAAACCTCAGTTACTTTTTCAGAATATCCCATGGAAATGCATGGATTTTAGGGTGCCACTTTGGTACCTTATTATGTGATCAATATCATTGAGCTCAGGCCAGATAATAAAGAAGAAAATTGGACCGGGCACATACAGATGGTGTTAGACAGGTTTATTGGAAATCCATACAACTTTCTCGAGCTTGAGAAAGGCTCCTGTGGGAATTGAAATGTTCTATGGATTTGCAATAAACCTGCGTAACACCATTCTGTTTTTTGACCGGTCCAATTTTCTTCATTATTATTGATTTGGTGGGAATGATCGACCCTGGTCTAAAGGCACCACTCTATCTTGTTTATATTTAGCTCAGGCCAGGGTGAAGTTTTCCATATAGAGGAATGACAAATTAGTAAAAACAAAGAAAATTTGGGTGAGCCAAGGTGATTTTCATAGTGGAAACGGTTGGTTACTTCTTCAGAATTTTCCATTGAAATGCATTGATGTTAGGGTGCCAAATTGTATGTTCAATATCACTGGACCCGAGCTTTATTAAACTTTTTGGAAGTTGTCTGGTTGTTGTTTAGTAAATAATCATTTTCATAAAAAAGAAGTTTGACGAACAGAAGCCAAGTTGAATAAGAAGCCTTAACCCCTTAAGGACCAGACTTCTGGAATAAAAGGGAATCATGACATGTCACACATGTCATGTGTCCTTAAGGGGTTAAAGCGACTGTCATCGTCTGGATTCTCTGCATGATTTAAAAAGACCTCTGAGTGTGACATTGTGGTGGCCCAGCGGTACAGAAAAAGGCATACCTCCCAGCATTTCAGGTGGAGATAAAGGGACACTTTAATTTTAGTGGTGTGGGTGTGGCCATGTTCAGGGCTGTTCAAACTAATTTTAGTAGACTTACTAATAATTTATGCAACTAAAATGTAGTTGCATTTATGTAGTCGTAATGTGGAACACAAACAATGTATCTTATTTAAACAGCCTGATTTTTTTAAACTAACAATATGGTGCTCCTAGAAGAGAGGGACATTAGGATAGAAATTTTGGACAGAGGGATTTGGACCCAAAATAGAGACTTTCCCTCCTAAATAGGTACACTCTGGGGATATGGGAAGATGCGTTAAATTTACTGTCGTTTCAGCAGCATGTGCGAGAGTACTATGGAGGATCCCAAGAGATCCTTTATAGAAAGAACCTGTTTCCTCTCACCCTGAAAGAGGACGCTGATGCCCTGGCGCCAGCGAGGGACAGGTTCGGGTATGTACATCTCACCATTGCTACGCCCTCCACCCCTTCCGAATTCGCAGGTGGTGGCAGTTCCTTGTTAGGCGTACTAGTCCGTACTTTGTCTCAGTATATCTTTCGAGTCGGTTGGAAATTCAGCGAAATTTCTATACCGTCAGTATGAGTATTTCATAAAGATATTATTTTCATTAAATACTAATTATTATTTTTAGGGAATGGAGAGAGCCACTTTAATTAATAGACACGTTGGAGGGACACTAAGGACATAAACATAAATGGAGTCAGGCTATGGCATTCAGTAAAAACCTGCTCTAATAATAACCTGACATTACATCATATCACATTGGTTTGGTCAACATAAAGGCTGAATCTCCCGTGATGCTCAGCGTGAGGATTCTACATGCATCGTAAAGACTACATCTCCCTGCATGCATTGCGGGCTAACCTTGCCCTATACGACCTGTAAAACATCCCGGCAGCCTCTGCGCGCTAGTCATTCAGTGACAGCCGAGAAGACTCCATTTCCCGGCATGCTCGGCGGAGCAGGCTCGCTGTGACAGGAGCCGCAGTGGGTCATTGCGGCGCAGCAGCTTGGCCAGGTAACGCGGTGACCATGGATAACTCCGGCAAGGAGCGGGAGGCCGTGCAGCTGATGGCCGACGCTGAGAAGCGGGTGAAGTCCTCGCAGTCCTTCCTGAGGGGCCTGTTCGGGTGAGTGAGGGATTCTGGGTAATGTCTGGACCAGGGCCCTCTGACTGACAGCCTATGGGGGAAGGGTGGGGCTCACTGCAACCCCCATCACTCTCAGCCAGCCCCCTAATCACACTCAGCCAGCCCCCTAATCACTCTCAGCCAGCCCCCTAATCACACTCAGCCAGCCCCCTAATCACTCTCAGCCAGCCCCCTAATCACTCTCAGCCAGCCCCCCTAATCACTCTCAGCCACCCCCAATCACTCTCAGCCAGCCTCCCAATCACTCTCAGCCAGCCCCCAATCACCTCAGCCAGCGGACTCCCAATCACCTCAGCCAGCGGACTCCCAATCACTCTCAGCCAGCCCCCCAATCACACTCAGCCAGCCCCAATCACCTCAGCCAGCGGACTCCCAATCACCTCAGCCAGCCCCATCTCAGCCAGCCCCCCAATCACACTCAGCCAGCCCCCCAATCACACTCAGCCAGCCCCCCATCACACTCAGCCAGCCCCCAATCACATCAGCCAGCCCCCAATCACACTCAGCCAGCCCCCCAATCCACACTCAGCCAGCCCCCAGATCACACTCAGCCAGCCCCAGTCACCTCTCAGCCAGCCCCCCCAGTCACTCTCAGCCAGCCCCCCCATCACTCTCAGCCAGAATGCACGTGGCAAGAATCTTCTCTCTCTTTGGATGCATGTACTTACGTCATCCTATATTATCCAAAATGAAGCCAGCCAAGTCAAAATTGGGGTAAAAATTACAGATTGCCATCTGGAGCATTTCTCAAATTAACTACCATATAAATAGTTCCTAACATATGCCTTGAGTTTAATATTTTTGGATAAGCTTCTCAAATGATTTAAAGAGACACTCTACTGCTCAAATACAAAAAGGAACGAACAACACGGTTTAGTAGGTATACCCCCAAAAACATGGTGTTTAAATATGTAAATTATTTACATGGGGGTATATCTAAAAGCTGCTGCCTTGTCTTGTCTGCAGCCATTTCAAGTCCTCCCCTTCTAACCACACCCAGGCTTTCTGGACTATCCAATCAGAGACTTCCTAACGCAGCTCAATGAGAAGTCATTGCAAGGCAGGTACCCTGAGCAATTGTGTCTTCTTTAGTTTATCTCCACTGAGCTAAAAACACCAGGAAGTTATAGGACCCATTGTCTAAATGACAGCGAATGTGTTGTGACAGCATTAATTTATAAAAGTGCCAATTTCTCCTGAAATCTGCACTTTTTGTAATCACAGATCACTTCATTGTCACCCTTTAATATTTTTGGATAAAATTGTAATGATATATATAAAATCCTAGCTAAAAATATATCAAAATTATTATAATATGTTATCAAAATATTCAATACGTATCAAAAATGTTAAATTGAAGCCATCATTTGTAAAAATAAGCAGAGTCATTGTTCACATTAACGGAACCTTTCACTGCTATTATATAGTACATAACTACGGAATCTGATGGCGCTATATAAATAATAAAATAATAACAGTTGGCCCTTGACTTCCCAACAGTTTAGTATCCCTGCTGTAAAGAAAGCTGAATGCTGGAATAGAAAGGCATTACAGGGAAAGGTGACAAAAGGAATGTGGGAGTTTGAAAGGAACATTCTAAGCAGCACTGAGATGGCAGATTAGCATGTAGCTTGTAGCAGATTGTGTGTTGTTGCAGTGAATCAAATAAATATCACTTGAGATTATGTACATTGTTTTTCCATTAGATTTTATGATATTGTGTTTTCTTCAATTAATCACTTATACGCAGTGATCTTCTATAACCAGGCTTTACACTTTATAGTTTGTCAAAGCAGAGTTGTTTTGGGATTTTAGGTTTTTTATTTAGTTTCCGTATTATTTACATGACAAAGTATGGAGATGTTTGTGTCGGTTATGCGAAGTGTAACAAAGTAGCACTGTTGCTATGCATTGTGATATGCCGTCTCTGTGCTTTAGGAGAATATGTTGGACTTTACTCAAACTTTGCATCCTTTTTGCGAATGGCAAAATTCCAAAGAGGCTGTCCATATTTTTGCTAAGCAATCCGCATCAATGGCAAGAGAGCGGAGGAAATTGCATAACCGTAAAACCAACCAATTGTAAATACAGTTTTGTTATTTTAAAAGGTGTGCTCTGTTTTGCTGGATTTTTTTTTTCTCTTGCTGTGATCCATGAGTTTTTCTGCAGATTTGGGCTAAAAGTTTAAGGCCGTATCTATTATGTGTTTTGCTTGGTTTTCAATTTGTTCAAGATATAAGTTTAGCATGTAACCATCTTTTATATGCTTCATATAATAACCTGTACATGTGATGGTACATGTGAAACTGCTGCTGTATTCTGATCAGAAATCAATCCAGACAAAAAAAATATTCTGGCTGTCTGCCAGTTTCCCTTTAGGAAGCGTTTTCTTTAGCTGTGTCATTAGCCACATTGAATACATAATCCCTTCTGACATGATCCCCAGCAGTAATTGCTTGGCACGGCGTTGGCTGAATGATGCACAAATAGACTACCCGCAATTGACCCGAGAAATATTGGCACTAGCTGTTGCAAAGGCACACTGCATTCTTTGATCTCTTAATGAGGTGTTAATCAATTTGCTTCTTTATGCTGTTGAGAATTAATCCCAGATATACTTGTTATGGAAAAAAAAAAATATATAGATTATAGTCTTGATTTTTTTACATTTTTGGACTATAAATAATAATAATTAAAAATGAATCATTGCTATGTATTTTTTTCCTGTGCCGATTAAGGTGAGCTTCACATTAGCCTTTTTGGTATTTTATTACGTTTTATATATATATATATATATATATATATATTTTATTTTTTTATTTTTTTTTTGTCCTGTGTAATAATTGCACAATCCTGATAGATATTAGTTGATACTGAAAATACTACAAAGTGGTGATCCATAGTCGTTACTTGCTAAAAAGGGAATTGGAATTGAGGAGAATTAAGCTGGGATTGCAAATCTTAGCAGTATAGCCAGAATGGATTTATTCTGTATTTTAGTCTATTGCAGGAGTTTGCAACCTATGCAACGGGTACCTTTGCATGTCACGCAAGGCCGGCACCTAAATAGGCTAGATGGGAAGATCAGAAAGTTGCTAAACCACCTACCTTACCATGCAATGCTCTGAATCACTTGTAATGTGCCAGAACGGAGTTAAGAGAGCTGCACTTGATGTGCAGACTGTAAGTTTCGCCAACAAATCACCATGGATTTAGGATTCGTGACCTCATTAAATGCCACCCTGCCCATCGATCGTAAGAGGGAAGTGAGCAGAAAACAATGTTTTTTTATTTAATGACAAGTTTTTAATGACAAGTATTACACTTTAGGCAGCCCACATACACACTTGAACAGTCCACATAAACATGCATAGTACCACAGACTGCAACACACGTAAGTAGCAGACAGCCCACATTTACAGACAAAACCGTACAAGCCAACCACTCCACACACAATACCACAAACAACAAGGCATCCACAATGCTACATACAGCCTATCTATACTCTTCCATAAGAACCAGACATCCCGAAGGCGGAGCCTAGCAGCCAACTGGAACAGACGCATGATCAATGAGCGCCTCATCCACAGCTATTATAAATGCGAGTTTTGCAAAAATAACAAGCTGAAAATCGATCCCAAAGACCCACCAGAGCCATGGGACGGAAAACAAAGAAACAGAAGCCAGACAAGCCCAAATCGGGACCCGATATCGGGGACTTATTCCGCCAGGCACAAGACGCACGGGGTGCCAAGATGGCCGCCGACATGGCATGGTACTCAGACTCATCGGACGAACTGAGTCTAGATGAGTACACCAGCGGAATGTTTGCCCCGCAGACTCAACCGCCCGCACCCAAAAAGCAGGGCGGTGGTGACAGGCCTAGTGGGGCGCATTGGAGCCATAGAGGCACACACAGACAAACTGGCCCAGGAAATGAAGGATCTACGTAACGAGCTACAGGCGCTCAAGAAGCATCAAGCGTAAGCAACTACAGACCATCGATTTGCAGCACTTGAGGACCAAAGACGCCGCAATAACCTCAAGATTCGAGGTGTCCCAGACAACATCCCGACGGAGGAACTCCCACACCTGATGAGGAGGCTCGCGGGAACTCTACTGAAGCCACAACAAGCGAAAGTCTTGAGCTTTGAGGCGATCTTCAGACTCCCTAAACCGAGGAAGGCCCCATACACGGCCTCCAGGGATCTGGTGGTGAGGTTCCGATCCAGAACAGACAAAGTGGCTATACTCACGGCCCTACAGGGGAAGACGCCACTCATTTTTGAAAACGCCAACCTTACCTTTTTTTACCACTTGTCTGGAGACACCATGCAATGGCGCAGATCCCTACAGCCGTTCACGACACTCCTGAGGCAAAACGACATCACCTACAGATGGCCCTACAGGTCCTGAAAAACAACCTGATTCACACAGTCAAAGACCTACTGGAGGCTGTGCGGCTGCTGCCAACACTTGGCCTGCCAGAGAACTCTCTCACGCCAGCAGCCCCGGCGGGCGCAAACAGCATAAAGCACCGATGGGACCCATCAAAGATCACGCCATTCGTGCCTCTAACAAGGCAGCCAAACAACCCTGCAATGGCCCCATCCTGAGCGGAGACGCACGGGGCACCACGCGGCTCTACACTATCCCAGGAGGCGTGGTGACAGCGACTCACAGTCGCTCCTGCTCAACATCAGGCTTTATTTTTCTTTGTTTCCAGTTTTCTTTGTTCCCATTGACTTTTACTTTTATACCTGGCTGCATTACACTGCTGGACCCTCTGAAGACCGTGCCAAACCGGGGTCCACTCAAGCCCATTATGCGGGACTTTTGATGGCTTCGTGAGATGGACTCATAAGGGACTTCACAAGGACTCACGGTAACTCCCTCAGATGCCCCAGGGCGCCTGGCTGTATTGAGACCGTAAATACCCCACACCCAGAGACTTGCAGTCCACCATGCAGGCCAGCCCGTGAGGACCCCCGATGGGGATCAGTTTATAATTGCGTTTTGGACGCACACTTGTTTTTCCATGTTAATATTAATAATGATAGAATGTAACAACACAGAGACAACCCTGACCGCACAACACGACATACAAGCCCAAATAGACACAAAACATGCCATAGGGTACTGGTTTCTACACCTGGTGTACAGGTGGCTCGGCGGAGCGCCGTCTAAAACTCATTAGTCCATTTACTTACGGCACGACTTATCTGGGAGCTGCAAACTGCCCGGCAACTACTGCGAGGCATAACATGCCATCACAAAACCCGCATCGACACAGCTAAGGTGACACAGCTAATCACAACTCACTTAACCCTACCTTGACAGTATAGCGGCCTAGCCGAGCATGAATTATTCCTCAAGGAACTGACACACAATTTACCTAAGTACTACTTCTAAGCCGACCACTACTACACGGTAACCAATAATATTGCACTAAACACACGGTAGCGTAAGCCACACTAACGCAGTTAACGATACTCACTCACTACTATTCTGACACTAGAAACGTTTAGTTATCCTTGTTATCTATAACAAATATAAAAATGTGCGCACTTCTATGTCAGTCTAACCTCGCAATTCATGGAATACGCTGTTGTGGCGTGTGTTGCTTATTTGTAATAATGTGCACAACAAAAAAAAAAAGAACCAGACATCCTATTTGCATACATAATACATACATCATTCCTCAACGTACATAATTGTTACGTAAAAAAATAAAAAGGGACTTCAAAGTCTTACTTTGGCACAATGCTGCTAAAAGGTTGCCTACTAAAGGTCAATACCACCCAATCACAAAAGGGATGTTGCTTTTTATGGTGTTATGGTTTTTTTCACAATATTGTCTGATTTTTGTTAAAGGACCACTATAGTGCCAGGAAAACATACTCGTTTTCCTGGCACTATAGTGCCCTGAGGGTGCCCCCACCCTCAGGGACCCCCTCCCGCCGGGCTCTGGAGAGAGGAAGGGGTTAAACACTTACCTTTCTCCAGCGCCGGGCGGGGAGCTGTACTCCTGCTCTCCTCCTTGCTCGCGACGTCATCGGCTGAATGCGCATGCGCGGCAGGAACCGCGCGCGCATTAAGCCGGTCGCACAGGAAAGCATTTACAATGCTTTCCTATGGACGCTTGCGTGCTCTCACTGTGATTTTCACAGTGAGAAGCACGCAAGCGCCTCTAGCGGCTGTCAATGAGACAGCCACTAGAGGCTCTGGAGGCTGGATTAACCCTCAGTATAAACATAGCAGTTTCTCTGAAACTGCTATGTTTATAAAAAAAAAAGGGTTAATCCTAGAGGTACCTGGCACCCAGACCACTTCATTAAGCTGAAGTGGTCTGGGTGCCTAGAGTGGTCCTTTTAAACTATATTGTTTAGATTCATAGGAGTTTCTAAACTGGTATAATAACCTTTTTAAATTTTTATTTATTTTTAGTGGCAACAATAAGGTTGAAGAAGCATGTGAAATGTATGCCAGAGCAGCAAATATGTTCAAGATGGTGAAGAATTGGAGTGGTATGTGCCTTGGTTGTTTACCTACTTCTGCTTTTTTTTTTTTTTTTTAATCTTTGGATCTGCTGTGTATAAAATAAATTGGGGATGATTTATAGTGACAATTCCATTAAAAAAATGTATCTTGTACAGAAAATAAAACTAAGTGCTATATAGATACTTGCAAGAGATTGCACTTGGTATTTTAAGATAATTTATGTGCCTGTCTTTTCAATTTTCTCTTCCAATAATAATAAGATCGACTCCAGGGCATAAATGAGTAAAGATGGGAAGGAGGGGGAGGGGTAAATAGTTACTTGCCCACTATCCCAAATCCCTATCCTGCAAATGTAAATAACTGGTGTGTTTTTTGTTTTTTTTTGTATTGCTCAAATGGCCATTGGAGTGATATTTTAAAAAAAAAAAAAAAAAAAGCACCAGTTATTTAAACTCACAGGATAGTTATTTTAAAGGTACTTGGGCTCATGCGCAGGTAACTTTACTTTACTTTACTTTTCTTTTTTTTTTTTTTGGAGAGCATTGCCTAATTTTGTGCATTTGTAAAATCCCTTTATTCTTATTCCTTGTAGTGCAGGGCTAGCTCACTTGTTGAAATTGCACGCAGCTTATGAGCTGAGCCCTGCCTGCACCACTAGTAATGATTTAGGCTTAGCTCAGGCAGAGCATTTCCAGCTGTCAGTGGAAGGAAACGAGACCTGGGCACATGAAAAGACACCTTATTTACTGTAGCCCTCGAGTTATTGTTGCTGTTTTTGGTGCGTATCCTCGCTGACAAAACAGGGAAGCATCAGGCTCATTAAAAATGACCATGCTTTGTATCATATTTCAATCATAAAGACTTTACAAAAGTGAAGGGTGAAATTTAACATACGTGTGTGTTTTTAATGAGTTTTTGAACTTAATAAAATGTTAATATCCTGTTTGAATATATACTTCTTGGTGATTTACCCAATTTAGGGAACTTTTTTTGTTTATCACCGTCTTGTTTTTCAAATGTAAACATTGCAATTTCTCACAAATGAGCTATGATTTACATTGCCTAAAAGGGACATCATTTATGTACCAAAACCACTACATTGCAATGAAGTGTTTTTTTATGCTTGCTGGTTAACTAAGAAGAAATTATCATTACTATAAGTCTGCCACTTTGAGTGACACTAGAGGAGGAATATCTTCTCCTTTGCTGTCCAAGGTTCCTCCAACTTAGGCATGCAGCATGTATAATAGGGCTAAGCAAAAGGTTGATCTCCAGGGTGGTACTCTAAAGGCTGCAAAGCATCATGGAAGTTGCAGTTCTACACCATCTGAGAATCTACCTTATGCCCATTCATAGGGCAGATACACGGATCACAAATCCCTTTTGCCATAAGTGCTTTAGGAGTATCATTTGCATGTTTTTTTTTAATATGTTGTGTGTTGATATAATGCTATTTAAAAGTTGGGATCACCGTGACACCTGGTGTTCTTTTTAAATACTTCGTACAACAATATCTTAGATCTCAATCAGGCTGAAATTTATTATTAATGTTTCTGTAACTTTTTTTTTTTTTCTAGCTGCAGGAAACGCGTTTTGCCAGGCAGCCAAATTACACATGCAACTACAAAGCAAGCACGATGCTGCCACGAGTTTTGTAGATGCTGGTAATGCGTTCAAGAAAGCAGACCCTCAAGGTGAGCACTTACTGACTTATTCTAAAATTGCTTGTAGTTATGTGTGGATCGTTGCTGCAGCTGGTGTGTGTGCGCTCTTTAAATCCATAGACTGTAGCCCTATACATTATATAAATAATAATTGTGTTTTAGGAATTGGTTCCATTGTAGTGCACGGTATACAGGAAAAGAAATGTAGCACAGTGACTACGTATAGTAAATTGTCTAGTGATGCTGGAATTGCTTGGTCAGAAGAATTATGCAAAAACACGACCTAACGTTGAATGTGTAGAATAATCCACCATGCTCACAATAATAACATACAGCGATGATCTGCTTCAGCAAAAGAAAATTAAATGTAGGGGAGGATTACCAAGAGCCACCCATAGCAAAATATACGGCTTTCAAAAAAAACAAAAACAATCCTTAAACATGGTGTTGGATAGGTAATTCTACAAAATGACTTTGTGAAAAATTTGGAAAATTAAAAAAAAATGCTGCATTGCTTCTACATTAATGAATGAAATAACTGAATTGCTAGCTGACATGCTGTTTATCTTTCTTAATGCATATCAGAAGCCATCAACTGCTTAAATGCAGCCATCGATATTTACACAGATATGGTAAGGAATAGAATACTGTGGAACTGTTAGAAATAGAACCTGGTGAGGTAGTGCATCAACTTCAGGTTTGCAGGTTACTACCAATGCTGCGGTGAACAAAACCGGTACCATTACGCTATATAATCTATCAGTTATTACGATCTATAGCCGCAGATAGTAATTTCTTTATTATATGCATTTATGAAAACTTATTTACCTAAATGTTGCGGTATACATTTAGGCTTGACGATGTGATGCATGGATTAGTGATTTGTACTAAAAACTTGTGTTTTGAACTTGAGCATGCTTGTACCACCACTATCCATGTGCTTTTTTTTTTTTGGCTGTAAACTGAAACTGTTGTATTCTTCTGTCACAGGGAAGATTCACTATTGCTGCAAAACATCACATTACAATTGCAGAAATCTATGAGACAGAGCTGGTAGACATTGAAAAGGTAAGCTCCAACTTTCTGATTTTTGCATTTGATTGAAGCACATTAATAAATGGAAGATGCTCACATTTAAGTGAATTTTGATGACCAAAACAAAATATCAGAATTTGTTGGGTCACAATATAGTAGTGTTTTAAATCATATTTAATTAAATGTTCAGGATTGTATTATTAGTTATTGCACTTAAACTCATAGAGGTGTGTCAGATTGTACAAGGGTGAACAGAGCGCTTGTATAAAACCTGATTATATAAGTACACTTAGCTATGCTGAATGTAATTTTGAGTGTGAAGCTAATCTGCCTGCAATCCATTCTGGTATTACACAAACATGCAATGACTAGTTTTGGAAGACCAAACGCTTCAGAAATCTATTTCCCATTATGGATCATGGAAAATTGAGACCTCTGGGGTTCTGAGGTAAACCAACATAAGCTATTCTGATATTTTAACCAAGGTCCCTAATAATCAGCTTGTTCTAAGCCTTGGAAACCTGTCTTGTCAACCAGCCCCTTAAATGAAGGTGTTATGGTACCAGGAGGCTCCCGGGCAAACTCTTACCTTAAAGGGATAAACGTTCTTGAAAGGTTTGCATTATTTGCGTAGACACCTGATGGTGACATTGTCGCTTGGTGTCTAGTGGCTGCGGGGTATAGGGGAAGGCAAGTTTTACTTAACTGAACCTGTCCCTTGCATCTTCCGCCATCAGCATCTGGTGGGCCCTCTTCAGCTCATGGCATTTCACCTGCCAGGAGCCAATGTCAGTGCTGTCCTTTTGCGCATGTGAGGTCTATGGAGGACCCCACAATACCCAGAGAGCCTTCATAGATCAGGGTTTCATAAACCCCTTAAGGACACACGACATGTGTGACATGTCATCATTCCCTTTTATTCCAGAAGTTTGGTCCTTAAGGGGTTAAAGGGAGAATTTATAGTACATTTCAAATTTAAGACCTAAGTAGCTGAATTGCAAGCACAGCAGACTTAGATAATGTTTCCAGTTCTGCTATTTTTACCTCAATTTTGAAGTTCACATTGAATTGTCACTTTAGTAAATAACCCTGATTGTCTTGAAATGAGTGAGATACTGCCTTATTCCCCCAGCTCTGCCTTTCGACAAGTGTTTATTTTTTTCGTAAAGCGGAGGAAAACGAATTAAGGCAATGTAGTCCCTACTTTGCCTAATGTCCTCTAGGAGAAATAGATTGCAAAAGTAGAACAGATTAGGAGTAATGAAAAGCAGAGGAACAGATTGAAGTAAGGTAAGTAAAGGGAGAAAGATCTGCTTTGTATTGTTCCTTATGCTCTAGAATTCTCTCAGACATCTGAAAATTTGGGAGCAATCCTGCAATCTTCTGCATTGCTTTTTGGGGATCTGTGTTTCCTTCAAGACAAATCCAGCTTTATCAAAATTCTGCACACGTCTCTTGGAACATATGTGAGCTATGTTTTATCACTCATACATTGTTTTATTATTCCCATTTAGGCTGTTGCACATTATGAACAGTCAGCAGATTACTATAAAGGAGAAGAATCTAACAGGTATCAATCTACCACCAGGCTGTAGTGACTATTGTACAAGGAGTGCTGCCATAACCTAATAGTCAAACTACTAAAATGTGTGAAAATGATACCTTGTTTATATGAATACTAATCCCTCCAATGCATATAAAATTGCATGCTGATTATAGGGATTTTTTTCTCTTTTCTTCTTGTAACTGATGAAGGTGGCTCTGGATCTGATTACATTATGTTGGTCTAAAATGTATTATTACGGTATGATTTTTGAGATAAATACCCATCGTAAGATTGAACTCCTATATCTAGTACGATTAAGGTGTACGTATTGCTGTTAATTAGAGATTCTTTCTGTCCATGATCCGTTCACTTTACATTTCAGCTCTGCTAACAAGTGTCTTCTAAAAGTAGCTGGGTATGCAGCACAGCTGGAGCAGTATCCAAGAGCAATTGAAATATATGAACAGGTTTGTGGTTGTCCCCCCCCCCCCCAACTTTAAGAACAGAAAATGTCAAGGGTATTCATTGAGTATGATCAGAATCCATTGTTTTAGAAGAATTGTGTCTGTCTGTATCAGTTGTTGACTGTAAACTAGTGACTGCATGTTCCATAGTGACTGTACTGTAATTTCACAAAACACCTCTTTAAATATCTGGGTGGGCAATCTGCTTATAAGGCAGTGGAAATACTGTGCAATGTTTTTCAGATCAACATAACCACTGAGTTAGGTTTCATAAGCTGTTTAAGTGTCCATCACTAGAAGAGTTCTTGACTTTCAAGAAAAGTGCAATATAAAGAGAGGATTTATTTGTCCAGTATAAACTTAAACATTTCCTTCTGTAAACATTGACAATTTGACTTTTATATTGGGCAGGTTTATTATAAATTTAAATTATAATTTTTCTTTTCTTGTCTAGATTGGTACTAGTACAATGGACAATCCAATGCTAAAGTACGGTGCTAAAGAATATTTCTTCAAAGCTGCCCTTTGCCATTTCATTGTAGATGAACTGAATGCAAAGGTAACCTATCCGTATATTATTTTGCAAAATTTGATTTATTTTGCATATTGATTCACTTGGCTGATCATGTACACATTTAAAAGGTGGTCATCTTATGTTTTGTGTCTTTGGAGAGCAACATGTTTTCTGTTTTACAGCTTGCGGTGGAGAAATATGAAGAAATGTTTCCGGCTTTTTCAGATTCCAGAGAATGCAAGCTCCTGAAGGCAAGTGACCACAATGTGGGTTGCAGGTTCACAATATCAAAAGGGCTAAGCATGCACAAAAGGTAAAGCCGCTTAGGGGACCAAGGATTCCACCCAGTAGGTGTTTGTTTATTTACTGACCCAGACCCCCAAAGAATCCTTGAAACGTGTTTGTAATCCATTACTGGGACACTCATCAATGCAGCCCGCACCATCTTCATCTTCAATCCTGATGACTTTTGTCCAATCGGATGCTTCTCTTATAGCATTTTTGTGGACCAATGGCACATACGTGGAAATTGATGCAGCTCCCCAATCCATTAATTCTCTATAGGAAGCTTTCAACACACACAAGGTCCAGCATCATCATACTTTACACACTGACGGCAGACTTCAAATACAATCAATAAGGGAATCCATTTCTGTCCAGAACACCTACAGGCTGACTGTATGGCAGCCATTAGTAGGTAGGGAAACTGCAAAATGTAAACACTGCTTTTCCTCAGAAATGTGTTCCCCCTCCCCCAGCCTGCATCAATACCCCCAAATCCCTTTATTAACATAAAGTGATTTTGGTGCTTAGGCTTTCAGGAATGGTATAAATGCAGTGTGTATAATAATACACACTTAATAAAGAAAATGTCAGTTTCCAAGATTCCATGGGAACTTGCCAAGCCCTACATTGGAGATGTAGGAAACTTTGTGCAGGATGCAGAATAAAGAAAAAAACCATTGCATATTTTATGTAACAATTGTTAGGAAAGGACACTGTTTATAGAATTTCAATGCACATAACCTATTAATATTACTTTTGTAGAAATTATTAGAAGCTCATGAAGAACAGAATGCTGATGCATATACCGAAGCAGTAAGTATGAAGAATATTTGATGTCAAACCATTGAATAAAATGTCTATTATTCTTGGTTAAGGTAGTGGTCCTGCAATTAGCAGAATGTATTTAAATAGAAGAAAAAAGCTTCCATTATTGTGTAGTTTTGTGTTTGTAAGGTAAACCGTGTCCTTTAGTAGCCACTGTTGTCAAATATCTCAAGATATGTTCCATATTTTATGTGTAGCAAAAACTTGAAACCCCTAAAGCAGAACTGTTCCTAATTTCCTCTCCCCAGTGAACACGGACATGCGGTGTTAATTAAAAATTGTATATTTGTATTTATTTTTATGGCAATATCCATACATAACTTTTAGTTACATTTTAGACATGACATTGCCACTTTACAATTGGTGCCTTATTCTATTGTATTTGTGATCAGTTATGCAATGGGAAATGTATAGTCGTGTTTCTAAATGGATATTCACATGAACTTCCCCTAGAAATATTATCAGCATCTGCATAAGCTTTTATAAAAATAATATACAGCAGGGTAAGTGGGGGAAAAATAATAAAAAAAAAAAAAAGATTTAGGATAATTTAGAAAAAGAGACATCATTTAGCCTATTATGTCCTTATCACATGTATCCTCTACAACTATACAAATAAAGAATTTACATCCAGGTTTCCAAATATAAATTTTACTTATTTTCATCTTAGGTGAAGGAGTTTGATTCAATATCTCGTTTGGATCAGTGGCTTACCACCATGTTACTTCGTATAAAGAAATCATTCCAATGCGATGGCGATGGCGATGGCGACCTTAAATAAAGTGGGGACAGATGTACTGATCCTCCCGTCTCTCCACTCCCTCTCATCTTCCACTCTCCTTGTTTCTTGCAAATATTTATTTTGCATTCCTAGTGGCACTAAACCTGGTAACACTCATTAACACTCATTGTTAACATTTACATCACATGTATACTTTAAAAAGTGAATTTGACTTTAATATGTAACAGGCCATTTTTTTTAAAACCTTTATTTTAACCAATATAAACTATATTGATATATTAAATAATTAGCAATATCCTCTGTGCTGCTAATCTTACCTGCCAATCAAAAAGTGCTAAAATACAGTGATGACAGTAGTTAATATAGAGCTAAATCACTATATGTAGACACATTTCCTGGCTATGCAAATCCAACCTATGCTGTTTATTAAAAATGGTCTTACACTTATGGGCAAGTTCCCTGTTTTTGAACATTCCAACCTCCAAGAAATACCGTTCTCAATTGGCTCCTGCAGAGTTAATGACCCGACTCTGTCTTCACCTCCAACTAAATACCACCACTAGAGTGTAGATGGAAACTTGTGTATCATGTTGAATTAGATACAATGAAACTTCGGTATTCTAAAATAATTGGCTTTTTGAAGCTGTTGTAGATGTAATGAAAAAGAGACATGAGCAAGCCTGCATCATACATGTTTTCTTATTTATTTGGTATTATCCCTAACCTGAAAGCCTCCACACATTCTATTGATCTAGGTTAGGCAAATAGTTCATATGCATGCTGTCATGTATCGATAGATTGTGACAGCAGATTGCCAAATTGAACATTTGCTAGTACCTACAGATAATCTCTGCTCTCATTGAGTTTGGAAATTCTATATGAGAGCTGGGTCATTTAATTGCACTTAAATAAAACCTAGTATTTTATGGCTCAATTGATTCTGAATTGAGCAGTTGCATACTTCTGATAACAAGCAGGGCAGCCATCTTTTTAAAAGTTTTGGGTTACATTTGCAAAAGCTGAAAAATGAATTGTTTAGCCTAAAAGCATAAAAATGGAAGTACTCCCCAGCTCAATACATTTTTAGTCTAATGTGTTTCCCGTCTCAAATCTGTACAATTCCAAGTCTTAGACTTGATAAGGGTTTGTTACAGTTTACTAGCTCAGTCTGCAGTACTTTGAGTACTCTGAATTCCATTCCTGTTAACACATACAACTAGAGGGGGGTTCCAAGTATTTGGGTAAATTGGTATTAACATACAAATTTATTCTTCTGGTCTCCACAGAGCATGTTTCTCTATTTACAGGCACTCTGTTTTAATACAGTTGTGTGAAACGTGTTTCTTCCTTGTAATCAACAGAGTCAAAATTGTGTTTTTAATGAATGCAATATAAAAACGACAACATCTAGCTTAGTTTTTAAATTGCTTTACTGGCGTAGAAATGCATATTTATTTATGGTTCATATTTCATTGTCACAAAAAAGTAATGTTTACATTGAACACAATATCAAAGAGCTAGATTTAGACCTTATAAATTGTGCTTGGCTTTCATATGGTCACCCTTGTTGATTTTGTGAAGATGTTCCACTTTTTATCTGTGTTTTTAATTTAAAATGTTCTTGAAACAGTATTTTTGCACAGTAGTGAATATGCATACTGATTTGTCTCGATGTAGCAGCACAGTAGACACTTGTTTTTTGTAGTCTTGTGGTCGTCCGTAACCGAACAGACAGGTTGACTTTGTCTATTCTATTGTGAGATAGTGAACAGCATGTGTATCATGTATTGTACAGTGTGGTGCTGCAGTTTTCAAATGATGTAACAGACAATCTGTCTTCCTTTTAATGTGTATAAATGTGGTCAATAAATCAAAACAAGAAAATTAAGGATTCTGTTCGTGTGTGTTTATTTAATTGTGTGTGTTAAAGGAAAACTCCATATGTATATAGAATATAGAATGCACACTATAACAATCTCAAAAAAAACTTTGCTTTATTATGTACAAAAAAGTACCAGAGTGAAAACATATAAAAAAAAGATAAACAAAGTGACAGAAGCAAGGGCAAACACAATAAAACAATAGTTAAAGGAAAACTCCATATGTCACTTTGTTTATCTTTTTTTTATATGTTTTCACTCTGGTACTTTTTTGTACATAATAAAGCAAAGTTTTTTTTGAGATTGTTATAGTGTGCATTCTATATTCTATATACATTTGAATATTTAAAGCACTTGAGGGAGTGTTTATATGGTTTGCACCTGGCTGTTCTTATACTATTTTGTCTCTCCATGTGCTGTTGTTTTGAGAAAGGAAAACTCCATAACCACACATACTACTTTACTAATTTATGGTACCAAGACTGCTATGGTCGCATCCTATATAAAGTAGTCCATCCATTTTAAGAATAGGTTCTCACCAGATGCCTGCTGGTAGAATCTCTTGTCACTGAGCTAAACCTGGCTGTGAAGGACTATAATCATTGGATGACAGAGGTCAACCGATGCTCTCAGCCAATGAGCGCAGCCTTGCACTGCCAGATTTAGTTAAGTGGTGCTAACTGAACGCTCCTTGCAAAGGCTTATGGCTGCAGTAGAGGTGGGAGCAGGTACCTGTTGGGACCCAGGTAAGTTAAATTGTTAAGTTGTAACTCTTTAGTCTGGGAGGGCACTACACATGTATCATTTAAAATTTCTTGCATATATCGCCTAAATAAAAATATATAATACATTAAAAATTATATCGAGTGATGGACTTCAGAATGCAAGTTTTCCCCATTCACATAGGATGTTTTTATCTATTTTGTGGCTGTATTATATTTTTCTTATATTACATGATATACTGACTAGCACATACTTCCAGCAAGCTGTGATTTGAATTGGTCATGGTGCCTGGAATCAGCGTTTATCATTGAAATGCTGCACATTAAGAGATTAACGTCCTTGGCTGCTGGAGGTGTAACTCTGCCTCCAGCAGCATCAGGGCAAAGTTGGCTAATGTTAAGTAGTTGCAAAATTGGTGTCTGGTGCTAGATAGCCAACAGCATGCCCCATCCCTGTCCACCCCTCAGTCTGTCGTCTCTAGAGATGGCTCTGGGGATTGACACAACTCTACAGCAGTGACTTCTGTCCAGTTTTTGTCAGGCATGTAAGGAAAGTACATAAAACAAATTAGTCCTTACTTTTGTATCTTTTTGAGTGTGCTGGAATTTCAATGAAATTCCAACACTTTTACTTATATATATTTTCACCCTTTTCTCTTGCTGAACAGTTATATTGAAACACTCTAGTGCCATATTGCTGCTCAACCCAACTCGCCTGCTGCTGCAGTTTCTCATAGAACAATCACAGCAGCGGGCAAGTTAGGTTGAGCAGCAGAGTTTCATCCACATGGCCAGATAAGTGAAAATTGTCTAAAAAAAAAAAAAAAGTCTAAAAAAAAAATTTCGGTATACATTTAAAAATATAACATTGTTTCATTAAATGTAAAGAGAAAATTTGACAGTTGCCCTTTAAGTATCTTGGCCTGAAGTGGAAGGAGATAAACAGGGAACTGAAAAGTAGATGGTAATCTGGCAGGAAAAAGATAATTTGGATCGTATTTCTTACACACCTTTTCCCCTCATGGCCTCCTGACAATACACACCACCAGTTGCTACCTCGACTTTGGACCCAGTACACGCATGGCACTTAAAGACCACTATAGTCAACATATAAAAGCAAGAAAGACAGGTCCCCTAGCCTTGATTTTATATTAATTTCCCCTTAATAAAAAAGAGTCCTTATTATAGCTAAAACTTACCTCTGTTCCAGCACAGAGCTCCTCGGCAGGCTATACCCCCGTTTTTGTCAAAATGACGAAATAGCAGGGCTCAGACGCTTCTCTTGGAGAAGAGCCATAGTGATCTGGTGTGCATGCGCAGCTTCACGCTGCACCAATCTCGTTCTTCATATCGTGCCGCCCTATGAATACTGAGCGCTCAGCTCGCTGTCTATGCCCGCCCCCTCCTACTGCAACACTCCAGCCCAAAGTTTGTATACAAATACTATATATAGATCTCTATATCTAGTGTTTGTTTAAAGTGATACTCCAGGCACCCAGACCGCTATACGCCCTCCATCCCAGAGCTGGTATAGCTCTTTTCAATGTGAGTGAATTACCTATCTTTATTCAATTTTATCCCTGGATTTTGGCATATTGCACTATTAGTCGTATCTCCCTTTTGTCTCTCCACATATTTGGATATTTTAACCATCTGGACTGATCAACTCCTGAGGATCTCACCCCCACCCTATTCTGATATTTTAGCGAGACTTTTATTCATGACTACCTATCTCAGTGGATTATATCCTTATTATTAGAACATTTTCTCCTATATTTAGCTTTTATTGTTTTATTGGCGCAGCCTTGCCGTTTTTTTTTGTTTTTTATATTATATATATATATATATACACACACACACTTTTTTTTTTTAATGAATGGGGAGCTACTGATTGGCTTAGAGTAGGGGGTGCCCAAAAGGTAGATGCCCAGATGTTTAAAAACTACAGCTTCCTAGATGCTTTGTCATTCTAAATGCATGCAGAGCATCATGGGAGTTGTAGTTCTACAACATCTGCAGATCTGTTTGGGCACCCCTGGATTAGAGCGTCAGCAGTGCCCCTGCCCAGCAGTACTCTGCATTTGTAAACTCAGATTCGGAAGTCAGATGCCAACTAAGGCACCTGTTGATCGGTGCTGCAGGAAAACTTCTGGTACTTATATAGGGCTTTTCTTTGCTGTCTGAAACAGAGAGGGGCATTTCTCCAACCCCCTACACACTTATTAACCCTTATTAGGGAAACACATTGGGTTGGCGGTAGTACTGTAACACTGTTGTGTGATACAAAAGAAAATACAAGCATACAAAAAGAAGCCCTGTGCTTAAACTTCCGCTACTCCTGTGTGGCAGCAACCACTATATAGTACACATCAGCCCCAATACATACAATAAAAACCAAAGAAAATAATTACTTTCACACTCCCAAGTCTCCATGCATATGTAAATACCTGGAGGTTTTTTAGTATTATTCCAACAGCCTTAAGTCACCTGCACTGATGTTACAGGTGAGCTAACACTTAAATGGCCATTGGAGTGATACTAAAAAACCTCCAGTTTAACTATGCACGGAGATTTGGGATAACGTGCAAGTGATTCTTCTCTTTGGTTGTTATTCTAAAATAAATAAGTGTTGCATACTTTGCTAGTAGCTGTTGACTAATATAGTATCTATGTTGTAGCTCATGTCTGGACAACCACCTGATCAATGTTTTATTAACACTCACAGCATTATTCACTAAAGTTTTGAAATTAGGACCAAAGAAGCCAAACTGGAAGAATTTATTTTACTTCAGCTGTTTTGGATTTAAAGCAGCTCTGTCACCCTAAGAACTTACATTGGTTCCTTTTCCTCATGTTTAATCCATTATTCCTTCGCATTTTCAATCTTTTTCTCCTAATACAGACAATGTAGGGACTAATTTACCGCATTTATTTTTTCTCCACTTGACAAAAGGCAGAGCTACTTGTGTCCGGTTTTGCCACTTCCCCCAGCTGCAGGAATAAGGCATTGTCCTGCGGATTTCTCCATAGATATTAGTGCTGTATTCTTGCTCATGTGCGAGAGTATAGCACTGACATGGGCTCCTGGCAATTGAAGCACCCAAGAGAATGCAGTATAACTCACTCCACCCCTAGGCCAAAAGACAAAAAAAACCCAAAAAAACCCACACACAATGTCATAACCCCAGAAGGTGACACAGCTACTTTGACTATAAAATTAACTTAGAATTCTTGACAATTCACACTTTAGTTAATCAACCTGCAAGTCTGAGGCATTACAGGAAACTATGCGGTCTAAACTGATTCCATACACTCTTTAGAGCAATATGTATGCCTTAGTTTAAAGACAATTATAATACAGAAAGGAGTTTTCTATTTGCATACAGCTTCCAAGAAGTAAATAGGTTATTGATTAACTGCACTTCTAGCATATAATGAAATTGATTCAAAAATTGAATTTGGACAGCTCACTTATTGTGCCCTTTTATTGTAAGAACAAAAAATGTACACATGTTGAATTTATATACAGATCTAGTAAATATTAAGACTCTTTATTGCGCTTCCTTACATCTCATGATGTACAGTATAAACAGGGATTCAGGAATGAATATGCTATATATATTTTGTAAGATGATGAACATGGGCTAATAATTGGAGCCTTTCCAGTATGTGAACAAGGTTCTGTACATTGTCCTTGTTGCACAAAGTTGAAAGACTCTTACCGTCATACTGCTTCCTTTTTTCCTCCACATGGAATATTTAATTTTACTCCTATCACTTGTGCAAGCCATGTCGACATCAAATGGTAAACACGTTTATGCAAAAACTCCAACTTACATTATAGATGGAAATTGGAATAGAAACTGGAAGCAACCATCGCCTTGAACAACAAGATTTATGACATCCATGGTTTAACAATAAAATATAAATCTCTTTGCTAGAATCCTTTTTGTTCCAGTCTTAATAATCATTGAAATGAGGCTAGACTTCATCAAGGTCAGTCAGTCTAAACTATTCAATATTGACCATAGCGTGAATAGATTCACTCTGTGTGAGGACAGTCAGATGGTTAAAGGTGGTGGTGATGAACACTTCCTGAGGTATGACTGTGCAGTCTGACTTGCAGCCTAGGACGGAGGTTGTGCCATTTTCATGCAATATATCCACAGTTGCTGGCACTACCGTCAGATTTTGATAGTGGCCATTTTCTGTGTAGGTTAATTTGTCAGCAGGTTTTGGGGAATCATCAAAGTCATCCTCCGTGAGGTCTGCTTTTTGCCCTTGTTCAGCTTTAGGATCCAAAACGACAAGGAATGACTTCCATGGAGTATTCTTATCGTGTATCTATAAAATAGATTAACACAGTTTCTATCAGTTATGAATAAATATACAGATTGTGTCTGTTTTAACAGTTACATATTTGTTGAGGAGATCTTTTTTTTTCCCTTTCTTTTTTTACTCATCTGAAAGAGCTATTGGAGCATCTACTGAGGCATGCAATACCATCTTTACAAACACGGGAAAACAACACCCCCACCCAATGGTTCCTTATCACAGCTCTTTACATTATAATTATACAATAGTGTCAATAAATGTAACAAAATATGCCAAGGAGAAGGTGACAGAGGCACTTTATAGAGAAACTAAAAGGTATAACAAAACTGCAATAATTACAATTGCAGGGTTAAAGGACCTGGGGCACTGCAATGAGCTATAGTGGTATGGGTGTCTATAGTGTGCCTTTAAGGATATGACCATTTCAGTGTTGATTGCTTTCCTGCGTCCAAGACAATTTTGATACTTGCAATAAAATTTACGAAAGGTGAACTAAAGTTGTTTCTCACCGTTGTATGCCTCCGGAGTGTTGATTTATCAGTAAACGTCCGTTGACATGCAATGCACATGAATGGTTTCTCTCCAGTGTGAATACGATGGTGACGCTGCAATGCATTTAGTTGAGTAAATTGTTTTCCACATTGATCACAACAATAAGGACGTTCTCCTGAAAATAGAACATAATTTTATTATTATTGCCATTTATATAGCGCCAACAGATTCCGTAGCGCTTTACAATATTATGAGAGGGGGGATTTAACTATAAATAGGACAATTACAAAAAACTTACAGGAACGCTAGGTTGAAGAGGACCCTGCTCAAACGAGCTTACATTCTATAGGAGGTGGGGTGTAAAACACAATAGGACAGGAATTTGCAATCAAATAAGGTGGGAGTGAGGCAGAGCTGGAGGAGAGAGTAGAGTGCTGCCCTTAAGGAGAGAGCAAGAGACAGGTATGTAAGGTAGAGGTTACTCTGTGAGGCCATAAGCTTTCCTAAAGAGATGAGTTTTAAGGCACTTCTTAAAACATGCAAGACTAGGGGAGAGTCTGATGGCGGAAGGCAGGTTATTCCATAAAAAGGGAGCCACCCGCGAGAAGTCCTGCAAGCGTGAGTTGGTTGTACGCGTGCGAACAACGGACAGGACGTGGTCAAGGCAGAGCAGAGAGACCGAGAAGGGACATACCTACGGATCTGTGAGGAGATGTAAGAAAGGATAGAATTGTTCAGTGCTTTATAGGTGTGAATTAGTACCTTGAATTGACTCCTAAAGGATACAGGAAGCCAATGTAGGACTGACAAAGGGGTGAGGTGTGCGAGAACCGACTAGAGAAGAAAATCAGTCTGGCGGCAGCGTTCATTAAAACCATTCATTAAAGTAGCACTCCAAAATTCATAACTACTACAGCAAGCTGTAGTAATTATAGTGCCAGAAGTGTCCTGGCATCCCCACCACCACCCCCTTGTAAGTAGTCAACTGTATTAGAAAAGTCTGAATTATTTCCTGGGATCTGCCTCAACTTCAGCCAGCTTGCTTAAGCGCTTATGTTGGCTGTCCTGAGCAAAGCCCTGCAGGGAAGGGCTCTCCCATTTACCGTGATTGTGAGCCAAGTGCTCTAATCACTACACTGCAGGGCTTACCTCAGCATGAAAGCTTCCAGCTGAGGTTATGAAGGCTGGGAGCTGTGCCCAACAGTCAAAACAGTTTTAAAATGGTTTGACTCCCTACAATAGGAATTGGAATGTTCCTTTCATTAACCTGCAATCACGTCATATTTTCTAGGAGCAAACAATATTGGCAGTGTTGAGATTTACTGAAAAAAATAATTTTTCAAATTTAAGGCAAAAATAATGCCTTAAACTAAATTGACAAAAGTCAGTTATTTGAGCCTGAAATATTAAATTCACTTTGATTCTTTATAATTCCCCATCAGTAAATAATACTGTTTGAGTGTTACAATGTTGTATTGATTGTTGTACCTCCGTAAATGGCATCTTATTCAGCAGAATAAGTTTACCTAGCACATTCTATACTTTCATATCAACATCTCTTAGGGGGGTGGAATAATTACAGAAATCAATTAAATCAGAGAAAGTAGAGCCTATTATATAGTGAAGAGACACACTAATGGTAGTAGCAAAAAGGGGGTGGGGGATAACCCATAAATAGTTAACATTGAAATAGAAAAAGCAAAGAAAAAAAAAAAGAATCTACCAATAAGTGTATCTTAATAGGAGAGTAGCTAGAGTTCGTATAAATAAAACTTAACTTTTAATGTATCATTAGGTAAAAATAAAATAGATCAAAATCGGTCTAGATGAAAATGCTTGTTCTTGGGTAGAACATTGGCTTAAAAACAGAGTACAAAGAGTTGTCATTAATGGTAAATTTTCAAGCTGGACAGAGGTGGCAAGTGGTGTCCCTCAGGGGTCTGTTCTGGGACCCCTTCTATTTAACATGTTTATAAATGATCTTGAAGACCGCATTGAAAGTCATGTTTCAGTGTTTGCAGATGACACAAAACTTTGTAAAACAATACAATGTGAGCAAGATATTACTTTGCTGCAGAGGGATTTAGATAGACTGGGGGACTGGGCACTCAAATGGCAGATGAAATTTAATGTTGAAAAATGCAAAGTTATGCACTTCGGCGTAAAGAATACACAAGCAACGTATACCCTTAATGGAAGCGAATTAGGGATAACAACACATGAAAAGGACTTGGGAATTGTTATAGACAACAAACTATGCAACAATGTGCAATGTCAATCAGCAGTGGCCAAGGCCAGTAAGGTATTGTCATGCATGAAAAAGGGCATTCATTCTCGGGACAAGAATATAATTTTGCCTCTTTATAAATCACTGGTAAGACCCCATATTGAATATGCTGTGCAATTTTGGGCACCTGTTCTAAAGAAGGATATTATGGCACTAGAAAAAGTGCAGAGGCGGGCTACAAAATTAATAAAAGGAATGGAACATATCGGCTATGAAGAAAGGTTAACAAATTTAAACCTATTTAGTTTAGAAAAACGTCGCCTGAGAGGGGATATGATAACATTATACAAATATATTCGGGGCCAATACAAACCATTGTGTGGAAATCTATTCACAAACCGGACTTTACATAGGACACGAGGCCATGCGTTTAGACTGGAAGAAAGAAGATTTCGTCTAAGGCAAAGGAAAGGTTTTTTTACTGTAAGAACAATCAGGATGTGGAATTCTCTGCCTGAGGAAGTGGTTTTATCAGAGTACCAAACGGCTACTAGATGCATACTTGCAAGAACAGAATATTCAAGGATATAATCTTTCAATGTAGGGTAATAACTGCTTGATCCAAGGATAAATCTGACTGCCATTCTGGGGTCAAGAAGGAATTTTTTTCCTAGCTTGTTGCAAAATTGTGCTTCAAACTGGGTTTTTTTGCCTTCTTTTGGATCAACAGCAAAAAACAAATGTGAGGAAGGCTGAACTTGATGGACGCAAGTCTCTTTTCAGCTATGTAACTATGTAACCATATATAACAAGGAATTAGGTTAAATTTAAGTAAGGTACGCTCAGTCCTCCCTGTATATACAATGCTAGGTAATGTAGCAAGAAGGGAATAGTGTGTATTTACAAAATTAAGTGGAAAGTAGATATAATATTAATACACTGTTTGACTAGTGTCAAAGTCAAAAGGCTTTCTTCGTGTAAAAAAATGGGGGAAAGGTGCTGCAAGACTTAGCTCCTATTTCAGTGAGAGAGACTAATTTGCCTTCGTGGGCACCCCTTATAAAAGCCTGCTCTTACACTACGCCACTCACTACGGCTACGAGTAGGAAATATAAAGAAATAACAGGATAATGTCAAGGACTGAGCATCCAATCAAAGGATGCTTTTTCTCGGAGTGTTAGTTTGCCGTTTGTAGGATTCGCGGCAATGAATGCTGACACTTAAGGTATACTGAGTAAGCTTACTCGGTATACCTTAAGTGTCAAATATATACTAACTCTAGCTACTCTCCTATTAAGAGAAACACTTATTGGTAGATTTTGTTTTTTTCTATTTCAATTACAGAAATCAGATCAAAAAGCAAAGCCATGTGATATGTAGTTTTAAACGACAGGGTCTTTGGTATGTTCGATATTTCTCCTAATTTTGATGCAAATGTTTTATTAACAGTACTCAATAACTCAAACATCACACTGCTGGACAAATCAAGATAAAATATACTACATTTCTGAAATTTAACAAGACAAAAATAATAAAAGGCAAAAGATGTTCTACAACTACAGCATTAACTGTGAAATCCTAAAATTGTGCCAGGATAAAGTATTTCAAAGTCTGATTCATGTAGACACCAAAAAAAAAAAAAAAATCCACAGGGGAAGAGCCTAATGACTATTTCGAGGGTTCCAATGTATACCATTATTGGAAGAAATGACCCGTGGACTTGATATTTACAGTTACTGTTGAAAAAAATCAAAACCTCAACTGTTAATTTAGGACAAGTAATGTAAAATGAATCCACGGCCTGCTCTGTGTGCATTACCAGTGTGAACTTTAATGTGCTGGTAAAGGGAGTTCCTTTGTGCAAACGTCCTCAAACAAATGTCACATTTAAATGGTTTGGAGCCAGTGTGCATACGATTATGATGTTTTAAATATTCTTTAGAGGCAAAGCTCTTTCCGCAGGTTTCACACATGAAAGGCCTTTCTCCTGCAATGAAAATCAGTAGACAAAAGTTACTCTCTAATTTGGCAAATACTTCACATGTAAAATTCCAAATGTTTTGTAAAACAAATTAACTACAAATTGAAGTGCTTCGGCATAAACAGACTTTAATTTTTTTTTTTTTTTTTAAATGACATCTTGCAAAAACCACTGCATGTACTTTTTTTAAAAACATTTTTTGAAAGAAACTCTATAGCAAGGGTGCCCAAGAGGTAGAACTACAACTCCCATAATGCTTTGCATTTAGAATGAGAAAGTATCATGGAAACTTTAGTTCTAAAACATCTAGGGATCTACCTTTTGGGTACCCGTGCTCTATAGCATAATGAATACAAGCATGCATTCCCAACTAGCTATATGAATCCCTCCCCCTATGAAATAAAGGAGTTTACTCATTTTTCTTCTCTTGCCGTGCCAATCTCTTCAGCTGAAAGTATCAATCTTTATGATCTCAACCAATCCAATACTACCCCATAGGGAATCAATGGGAGGCTAGAGTGCAGCTCATCATCTTCTCACAGTGATGAACTGAGTAAAAGCATTTCTATAGGAAGCATTCAGCATCCCCATGCAGAATGTGGCGATGCCGAGCATTGATCCTGCAATCTGTACAGGACCAAACCAGGAAGTCCCTGTAGTTGCAGTCAAATAGACAGCAAATAGAGTTGGCCTTTGGCAGGAGTGTAAACACTGAGTTTTATCAGAAAAAGCAGTATTTTCACTGCTAAGCCTACAGGGATATGCTATATGCATTAAGTTGTAGTGGTTCTGGTGACTAGAATATAAATATAGTGGTAATTTCCATCATCTCAGAAGCTGCATGCTCCAGACTGAAGTAAGCTGCACTCGTCCAGTTACTCAGTGAACCCAGATTTAATTCTTAGTGTCATTATAAGCGGAGGTCACTCTGACTAAATCTTACTGTATTCAGCTTGAAGCTGTAACTCTGCATGCCGTTAGACTCAGACAACAAGCAGTCTGCTGACATCATCAGAAGTGGTAGCCTGATCCAATTACAATGCTTCCCCATAGGATTGGCTGAGACTGACAAAGAGGCAGATAAGGGGCAGAGCCAGCATGATTCAAACACAGCCCTGGCCAATCAGCATCTCCTCATGAATGAATCAATTAATTAATCTCTATGTGGAATGTTCAGTGTCTGCATGCAGAGGGAGGAGATACTGAATGTTTGGATGCATTTTAGGCAGCCATGACCCAGGAAGGATCTCTAACAGCTATCTGAGGAGTGGCCAGTGAAGTTATCACTAGGCTGTAATGTAAACACTGCATTTTCTCTGAAAAGACAGTGTTTACAGCAAAAAGCCTGAAGGTAATGATTCTACTCACCAGAACAAATTCAATAAGCTGTAGTTCTGGTGACTACAGTATCCCTTTAACCTGTATAAGCAATAGGCAGCAACCTTACCTGTATGACACCTTTTATGGTAGATGAGCATGTGGTTCTGTGTAAATCTTGCTCCACAAACTTCACAGACAAATGGTTTCTCACCAGTGTGAATTCTGAAGGAAAATGATTGCCCCTTAGTTATTATACTTCCCAAAATAAAGACAGGAAAAATCACATTTCAATTCGATATGTATGTGTCTACAGCTCTCCACCCAACAACACAGGAATATATCACTTCAGTTTACTTGTTTAACCAGAGAAGGGTTTAATTTGGGAGCAAAGACTGATTTTAGTATGAAGAAATATATAAGAACTGTCAAACATTATCTAAAAGAGTTCACAATTTAAAGCAAATATGTCAGTCTCCACACTATGGTAGTACTGGATGAGCATACATGTGTGCTAAGACCTTGATTTACTTAGTTTGGATCAGCATTTCAAAATGATAATCTGTAAAAAACAAAAAAAATAAACAAAAAATAACAGTTTTGAAAATATTTACCAACAGAAGTCAACCATTAACCCCTTAAGGACACATGACATGTGTGACATGTCATGATTCCCTTTTATTCCAGATGTTTGGTCCTTAAGGGGTTAAATTATAGGGACTTTCCATAAATAGATCATTTTGAAACCTTTTTCAAACAGATTGTAATAATTTGAAATGTGGATCCAAACGGTAGAACTGAGGCCCAAGTCGAAGGAAAAAATTTAAAAAAAATAAATATATATATATATATATATATATATATATATATATATATATAAATATATATAGACATATATATAGACATACATACATACATATATATATATATATATATATATATATATATATATATATATATATATATATATATATATATATATATATAATTGCTGACACACGTAAGAGTGTTCACCAGACTATAAATTGTATAGAAATTAAAGGAAATTCTACATTGTAGGCTAATTTTGTCGAGCTGGAAACTTTTTTTTAACTTGTTATTTCGTACTACAATTTACAATTCTCTTAGTTCTTCTAAACCTTCTGGGGCAGCTGTGATTGGCCCTGGAGACAAACTGTTTAATACCTGAAGGTAAGAGTGTGCCCGGGGCCTCCTGGCACCATAACAACTAATAAAGATGAAGTTGTTATGGTGCCTGGAGTTTTCCTTTATGCTATAATTGTATTAGCATGTCTATTCTTACCTCATGTGTGTTTTCAGTGCTGATGTTTGAGAAAATCTGGCATCACACTGTGTACAGCCGTAAGGTTTGTCACCTGTGTGTGTCCGTTCATGAAGTCTTAAAGCTGTTTTGGAGCTTAAACCTTTTCCACACTGTTGGCAAAAATGCCTCTCACCTCCACCCTCATGGACCTGCAAAATATGTCTTTTGACATCTTTTTTCCTTTTAAAATTTTTATTGCAGAGTTCACAAGGAAACAAGCGCTCATTATTATGAACATGGCGCTGGTGACTTTTCAAATTACACCGATTTGCAAATGTTTGCCCGCAGATGTCACATTTGTATACAATTTCTGCAGACCCATTCTGGACCTGTTTCGAATGCATTAAAAAGCTTTCTTCATCAAAAAACTTTTTGTCACGGATAAGACACAGCATATCCTCTCCATTTTGGTTGTTTTCATCATTGGATATTTTACAGCTCTCATCCAAATCACAATGGCTATCATCGTCCTCAGCCTTTATGCTATCTTCGGTCTGCTCATCTATTATTTCTGCACTGTGTGCATTTTGTTCCATAGGTGTGCCATTCACCTCTGTATAAATGTCTGCATTATCCTGTTGCTCTCGTAGTTTTCTTGTATACTTTTTCTTTGGAATTTCAACAACAGCCTTTTTTCCAGCTAAACGCCCACTAGATCTCCGAGATTTTACATTTGGAACCTTTGGCATGTCTTTTGTATTTTCAATACTGTCAATCTTGTCAGATTTTGGAGTGGAAGCACTGGGACATATCTCCTGCAAGATATTTCCATCATGGGCATCAGAAAATATGGTGGTAGCAGTAGTAATATGGCCCTCTTCTTCTGTGGAAGACTGGTTATCAGACAGTGAGTTTATTTGCAAAGAATTGATATCTTCAGACTCATGTGCTTCAGATAAGTTTTGCAAATCTAACCATACTGATTCAAGCATCTGCTTTTTAACCTGATAGCATACGACTTCCAGCTCTTCACATTTAAGCTTTTCAGCCATTTCGATCATCCGCTGTACTCTGTCTTCCTCCACTTCAACTTTTGCCGTGTATATAAACTCAAGAAACGAGGCAAAGTCCACTGTAGGTATTTCATTAAGCAATATATACGCATTAGAACCATCTAATACATTGTCATTAGTAAATACTTCTTTGAAATATTTGCTTGATGCTGCCAATACAGATTTGTGGGCGATGAAATCTGCTCTTGCCCCCTGGTGCTCCACTCTCACAGTAGCATCACAAAAGTGTCCTAGAAGTCGCAGTTGGTACATTTCATTCAAAAAGTTAACTGGCAGTGCCTTCGACTCCAGCAATAAACCAGTGTTTTCCATTACACTTGTCTGAAGTAGAATTTGCTCAGAGAGCGGAAAGGTAAACAGAAAACCTGCAAATACACAAATACATATCAAAACATGCACTGACACATTTTTGGGATAAGACATGTTTTATAGTATTTTGAAAAAATGAATAACAAAAAAAGTTCAGGCTCTCTCACCTCTGTATTTAATCAACTAAAGGAAATGTTATATGTAGGTCAAAAACAGGTGATTTGGGGGAAATTTGTGGGACAAACATGGAGGAGTTTATGTACAATATGCCGATGTATAGTAAATCCAAGAGCAGATAAAATATTTTTGGATGAATTAATTGATTTAAAGAAAATCTCCACTGAAATTTGCATTTTGAGTTTTCAATTTACTATAGTTCACACTTTGGTGAATTAACTGCTAAACAACAATTACACCTTTAACACTGGTTAAATGAAAAATAAAATACATGCCTGTCATATATACATTAGTCCGATACCGGCAATATTACAAATATTAAAATTCAATTACTTATAAGTCAATTCTCCACTTCAGTCAAAAATCTGCAAATCCCTTTCTAATTCTTCACAGCTACCAATTAATAAATAAAACTCAATGTTTTGTCGTTATAGTAAATAAAAAAAACAAAAACATGTAAACCGAGCCTTGTTTTGTGACTGTTTTTAAGCTTCAATTGCTCGCTTAAAGATAAAAAAAAAAAAAACTACTATTAAAATAAAATATATTATATACGGTTAACTTTTTTGTCCAAAACTGTTAATTCAGACAAATGCTGCAACTTAGCAATCACAGTTACTGTAATTTCATTTTTGGTTTTAAACTGACTGTTTTCTTTATAAATATAGAGCAATAAACAGGTAGAAATGCGGAATAAAATGCCCTTCAACCAAAAACAAGGGGTCCCTGCTGTCATACAAACACCTCAATGCTGCCAGGGGTTTCTGGGAAATGTAGTTTTACAATAACAGGTAGAATTGCAGAATAAAATGCCCTTTAACCTAAACCAGGGGTACCAGCTGTCATACCGGGGGTTTCTGGTAAATGTAGTTTTACAATAACAGGTAGAATTGCAGAATAAAATGCCCTTTAACCTAAACCAGGGGTCCCAGCTGTCATACCAACACCTCAATGCTGCCAGGGGTTTCTGGGAAATGTAGTTTTACAATAACAGGTAGAATTGCAGAATAAAATGCCCTTTAACCTAAACCAGGGGTACCAGCTGTCATACCGGGGGTTTCTGGTAAATGTAGTTTTACAATAACAGGTAGAATTGCAGAATAAAATGCCCTTTAACCTAAACCAGGGGTCCCAGCTGTCATACCAGGAGTTTCTGGTAAATGTAGTTTTACAATAACAGGTAGAATTGCAGAATAAAATGCCCTTTAACCTAAACCAGGGGTCCCAGCTATAACACCAACACCTCAATGCTGACAGAGGTTTCTGGGAAATGTAGTTTTACAATAACAGGTAGAATTGCAGAATAAAATGCTTTTTAACCTAAATCAGGGGTCCCAGCTGTCATACCAACACCTCAATGCTGCCAGGGATTTCTGGGAAATGTAGTTTTACAATAACAGAATAAAATGCCCTTTAACCTAAACCAGGGGTCCCAGCTGTCATACCAACACCTCAATGCTGCCAGGGGTTTCTGGGAAATGTAGTTTTACAATAACAGAATAAAATGCCCTTTAACCTAAACCAGGGGTCCCAGCTGTCATACCAACACCTCAATGCTGCCAGGGGTTTCTGGGAAATGTAGATTTACAATAACAGGTAGCATTGCAGAATAAAATGCCCTTTAACCTAAACCAGGGGTCCCAGCTGTCATACCAGGGGTTTCTGGTAAATGTAGTTTTACAATAACAGGTGGAATTGCAGAATAAAATGCCCTTTAACCTAAACCAGGGGTCCCAGCTGTCATACCAGGAGTTTCTGGTAAATGTAGTTTTACAATAACAGGTAGAATTGCAGAATAAAATGCCCTTTAACCTAAACCAGGGGTACCAGCTGTCATACCAGGGGTTTCTGGTAAATGTAGTTTTACAATAACAGGTAGAATTGCAGAACAAAATGCCCTTTAACCTAAACCAGGGGTCCCAGCTGTCATCCCAACACCTCAATGCTGACAGGGGTTTCTGGGAAATGTAGTTTTACAATAACAGGTAGAATTGCAGAATAAAATGCTTTTTAACCTAAACCAGGGGTCCCAGCTGTCCCAGCTGTCCCAACACCTCAATGCTGCCAGGGATTTCTGGGAAATGTAGTTTTACAATAACAGAATAAAATGCCCTTTAACCTAAACCAGGGGTCCCAGCTGTCATACCAACACCTCAATGCTGCCAGGGGTTTCTGGGAAATGTAGTTTTACAATAACAGGTAGAATTGCAGAATAAAATGCCCTTTAACCGAAACCAGGGGTCCCAGCTGTCACACCAACACCTCAATGCTGACAGAGGTTTCTGGGAAATGTAGTTTTACAATAACAGGTAGAATTGCAGAATAAAATGCTTTTTAACCTAAATCAGGGGTCCCAGCTGTCATACCAGGAGTTTCTGGTAAATGTAGTTTTACAATAACAGGTAGAATTGCAGAATAAAATGCCATTTAACCTAAACCAGGGGTCCCAGCTGTCATACCAACACCTCAATGCTGACAGGGGTTTCTGGGAAATGTAGTTTTACAACAACAGAATAAAATGCCCTTTAACCTAAACCAGGGGTCCCAGCTGTCATACCAACACCTCAATGCTGCCAGGGGTTTCTGGGAAATGTAGATTTACAATAACAGGTAGCATTGCAGAATAAAATGCCCTTTAACCTAAACCAGGGGTCCCAGCTGTCATACCAGGGGTTTCTGGTAAATGTAGTTTTACAATAACAGGTAGAATTGCAGAATAAAATGCCCTTTAACCTAAACCAGGGGTCCCAGCTGTCATACCAACACCTCAATGCTGCCAGGGGTTTCTGGGAAATGTAGTTTTACAATAACAGGTAGAATTGCAGAATAAAATGCTTTTTAACCTAAATCAGGGGTCCCAGCTGTCATACCAACACCTCAATGCTGCCAGGGGTTTCAAGGAAATGTAGTTTTACAATAACAGGTAGAATTGCAGAATAAAATGCCCTTTAACCTAAACCAGGGGTACCAGCTGTCATACCAGGGGTTTCTGGTAAATGTAGTTTTACAATAACAGGTAGAATTGCAGAACAAAATGCCCTTTAACCTAAACCAGGGGTCCCAGCTGTCATCCCAACACCTCAATGCTGCCAGGGGTTTCAAGGAAATGTAGTTTTACAATAACAGGTAGAATTGCAGAATAAAATGCCCTTTAACCTAAACCAGGGGTACCAGCTGTCATACCAGGAGTTTCTGGTAAATGTAGTTTTACAATAACAGGTAGAATTGCAGAATAAAATGACCTTTAACCTAAACCAGGGGTCCCAGCTGTCATAACAACACCTCAATGCTGACAGAGGTTTCTGGGAAATGTAGTTTTACAATAACAGGTAGAATTGCAGAATAAAATGCTTTTTAACCTAAATCAGGGGTCCCAGCTGTCATACCAACACCTCAATGCTGCCAGGGATTTCTGGGAAATGTAGTTTTACAATAACAGAATAAAATGCCCTTTAACCTAAACCAGGGGTCCCAGCTGTCATACCAACACCTCAATGCTGCCAGGGGTTTATGGGAAATGTAGTTTTACAATAACAGGTAGCATTGCAGAATAAAATGCCCTTTAACCTAAACCAGGGGTCCCAGCTGTCATACCAACACCTCAATGCTACCAGGGGTTTCTGGGAAATGTAGTTTTACAATAACAGGTAGAATTGCAGAATAAAATGCCCTTTAACCTAAACCAGGGGTACCAGCTGTCATACCGGGGGTTTCTGGTAAATGTAGTTTTACAATAACAGGTAGAATTGCAGAACAAAATGCCCTTTAACCTAAACCAGGGGTCCCAGCTGTCATACCAACACCTCAATGCTGCCAGGGGTTTATGGGAAATGTAGTTTTACAATAACAGGTAGAATTGCAGAATAAAATGCCCTTTAACCTAAACCAGGGGTACCAGCTGTCATACCAGGGGTTTCTGGTAAATGTAGTTTTACAATAACAGGTAGAATTGCAGAATAAAATGCCCTTTAACCGAAACCAGGGGTCCCAGCTGTCACACCAACACCTCAATGCTGACAGAGGTTTCTGGGAAATGTAGTTTTACAATAACAGGTAGAATTGCAGAATAAAATGCTTTTTAACCTAAATCAGGGGTCCCAGCTGTCATACCAACACCTCAATGCTGCCAGGGGTTTCTGGGAAATGTAGATTTACAATAACAGGTAGCATTGCAGAATAAAATGCTCTTTAACCTAAACCAGGGGTCCCAGCTGTCATACCAGGGGTTTCTGGTAAATGTAGTTTTACAATAACAGGTAGAATTGCAGAATAAAATGCCCTTTAACCTAAACCAGGGGTCCCAGCTGTCATACCAGGAGTTTCTGGTAAATGTAGTTTTACAATAACAGGTAGAATTGCAGAATAAAATGCCATTTAACCTAAACCAGGGGTCCCAGCTGTCATACCAACACCTCAATGCTGACAGGGGTTTCTGGGAAATGTAGTTTTACAATAACAGAATAAAATGCCCTTTAACCTAAACCAGGGGTCCCAGCTGTCATACCAACACCTCAATGCTGCCAGGGGTTTCTGGGAAATGTAGATTTACAATAACAGGTAGCATTGCAGAATAAAATGCCCTTTAACCTAAACCAGGGGTCCCAGCTGTCATACCAGGGGTTTCTGGTAAATGTAGTTTTACAATAACAGGTAGAATTGCAGAATAAAATGCCCTTTAACCTAAACCAGGGGTCCCAGCTGTCATACCAGGAGCTTCTGGTAAATGTAGTTTTACAATAACAGGTAGAATTGCAGAATAAAATGCCCTTTAACCTAAACCAGGGGTCCCAGCTGTCATACCAGGAGTTTCTGGTAAATGTAGTTTTACAATAACAGGTAGAATTGCAGAATAAAATGCCATTTAACCTAAACCAGGGGTCCCAACTGTCATACCAACACCTCAATGCTGACAGGAGTTTCTGGGAAATGTAGTTTTACAATAACAGGTAGAATTGCAGAATAAAATGCCCTTTAACCTAAACCAGGGGTCCCAGCTGTCATACCAACACCTCAATGCTGCCAGGGGTTTCTGGGAAATGTAGTTTTACAATAACAGAATAAAATGCCCTTTAACCTAAACCAGGGGTCCCAGCTGTCATACCAACACCTCAATGCTGCCAGGGGTTTCTGGGAAATGTAGTTTTACAATAACAGGTAGCATTGCAGAATAAAATGCCCTTTAACCTAAACCAGGGGTACCAGCTGTCATACCAGGGGTTTCTGGTAAATGTAGTTTTACAATAACAGAATAAAATGCAATTTAACCTAAACCAGGGGTCCCAGCTGTCATACCAACACCTCAATGCTGCCAGGGGTTTCTGGGAAATGTAGTTTTACAATAACATTGGTCTGTATTGGGCCAGTGCTGTAGTAATATAATAATAATAATGGCTTTGCTTTGTATAAACACAGATTAGAGAAGCTGATCTCAGCCAGTGACAGGCTGCCATGTCCTATTAGTACACAGTATAGACATTAATAGCAGTCCTGTCTCCCCTCTGGCACTGCAGCCCCCAGGCCGCTCACTGAGTGCCAGAGGGGAGACACAGGATGCCTAGTAACCAAATCAAGTACCAAAAAAAGACCTTGTTCAGGCGAATCCAGAGCTCTGGGCTTCCTCTCTATGGTACGGCCCGGCCTCTCCCTCCCCACTTCCTCTTTCTCTATGGTACGTACGGCCACGGCCTCTCAGACACGCTTACCACTTCCTGTGATTCCAGGCCGCCTGCAGATTGGCTTGCCAGTACTGCCAGCCTTCAGCGTGAGCATCTGACCCCGCCCATCACGTTCGGGGGGGGGGTTGGCCACGTGACAGCGAGAAGACCGTTAGGCCGATGTGACGTGACTCAGGGCCAAAACCTGCGCGTCATTTCCGGCCAGCACTGTAAGGAGCGGATGTTGTTTGGAGTTGGGAGCAAAGATGGCGGATCCTTATGGATGGTCCCAATACAGCTCACTAGGATTGTGAAGGGATGGGGTTTTTTGGCGCCTTTTTTTTTTTTGTCATGTTTCTCAAGGTTGTTTTGGTTGCTCACTGACCTTTAGAAAAGGCGGTAAACCAGCTTTAAAAAAAAATAAATTAAAAATTCTTAAAAATCACTACATTTTGAATAGATGCAAAGTGAGATCCTGATGGCATAATTATGGCAAACATTAATATTTTAAAACATAAAAATTTTTAAAACTCAACCACGAAATGGCTATTTTAGGCTTATTTTATAAATTCCATATTTTACTGAACAAGATGATGCACAGGGCGATCAGACCGTTTTTCAATTTTCTTACCGTTACGGACCAGGGCTGTTATTACATTTCTGCTGTGTTTGTGTTTAGCTGTAATTTTCCTCTTACTCATTTACTGTACCCACACATAGTATATACCATTTTTCTCGCCATTAAATGGTCTTTCTAAAGATACCATTATTTTCATCATATATAATTTACTATTAAAAAAATTATAAAATATGATGGAATTTTTTTTTACAAAAACACAACTTTTCTAACTGACCCCCAAAATCTGTTACACATCTACAACCGCCAAAAAAAACACCCGTGCTAAATAGTTTCTAAATTTTGTCCAGACTTAATTCACTCGGTTAAAGGACCACTCTAAGCACCCAGACCACTTCAGCTTAATGAAGTGGTCTGGGTGCCAAGTCCCTCTAGGATTAACCCTTTTTTTTTTATAAACATAGTTGCAGAGAAACTGCTTTGTTTATAATAGGGTTAATCCAGCCTCTAAAGCCTCTAGTGGCTATCTCATTGAAAGCTGCTAGAGACGTTTGCGTGCTTCTCACTGTGAAAATCACAGTGAGAAGGCGCAAGCGTCCATAGGAAAGCATTATGAATGCTTTCCCATGAGACCGGCTGAATGCACGCGCAGCTCCTGCCGAGCATGCACATTCAGCCGAAGAGCAGGAGTGCTCCCCGTCTGGCGCTGGAAAAAAGGTAAGTTTTAATCCTTTCCTCTCCATCCAGCCCGGCGGGAGTGGGACGAGTATGTTTTCCTGGCACTATAGTGGTCCTTTAACATCTTAGCCTTTTTTGGGGGCAAGTTATAGGGCAATAAGTACAAGTAGCACTTTGCTATTTCCACACTATTTAAAAAAAAAAAAATTAACACAAGTTACATTGTAGCACTGATATCTGTCAGGAAACCCTGAATAATCCTTCACAGTTTATATATTTTTTTCAAAGAAGACAACCTAAGGTATTAAACTTGGGATATTTTAAATCTTTTCATGTAACCATTTTACCACCAATCTATGCCAAATGTAAAAAAAATAAAATAGGGGGGGGCGGAGCAAGCAAGGCAACGGAGCGGTCGCACTTCTCGGAGCTCTGACACTAAATTGTGCAATCTCACAGTATAGAGCGGAATCCGAGCCCCAAAACAAACAAAAAACCTACCTACGACAGGAGAGGAGATCATGGGCAGGAAAACGAAGAAGGCAAAAGCCGAAAAAAGTCCCCACGGGAGGGATATTGGAGATATGCTCCGGAGCACGCAGCAGGCCGCATGGGCCAAGATGGCGCTGACAGACGAGCTATCCTCATACTCCTCTGAGGATTTTTCCACGGACCTCCTGGAGGGAGCGTCCTCTGGGCACCCGCCGGACCGCAAAATTGATTCACAGATGGCACGGGATCCGGTCACAGCGGATCAGCTCAAAAAAATGCTGGCAGAACTCCGCAAGGACCTGGCAGCGGATATGGCCTATTTGTCAGGATCGTGACAGGGATCCAACACGCAGAATACAAACAGGAGATAGGTACGTATACCGGACCTTAGAATGGCCGGACTAACGTAAGGAGAAAGCAAAAGAATGGTCAGAGACAAGCCGAGGTCGAGGGAACGAGAGATCAGGTAAGCGAGAGACAAGCCGAGTCAAAAGGACAAGAGAGGAAAGCAGGGTCAAAAATACAAGCCGAGTCAGGAACCAAAAGACAATAGAGGTAAGTGCACTGAGTGACCAGACTAGCTAGAACCACGACAGGGCAATGAATCATTCCACAGAACCCTTTTTTATACCTTGGCTCTTTAACTGTTGGCTCCGCCCCCAACGAGTCCTGATTCGTTGTTCGGCACTTGGTTGCCGTGATTGACGGGTCGGAACGTGATTGCCGTCATGACGTCGGCTACTGAGCGCCGCGTCATAAAAGGAGGCGGAGCTATCGCGGCCGGCGTGTAAACGGCCGGGAGGAGTGCAAGGATCGGGTGAGTCAGCCCCCCTAGGAGGATGGACGTCTAGGTGTCTAACCTCCTCCGAGGTAGACACCAAAGGTAACCTGACAGTACCCCCCCTCTCAGAAACGCCCACCGGGCGGAAGGAACCGGGGCGAGACGGAAAACGAGCATGAAATGCCCGGAGGAGACGAGGGGCATGCACATTTTCATGGCCCACCCAAGACCTTTCTTCAGGCCCATACCCCTTCCAGTCAACAAGATATTGCAACTTCCCCCGAGAAATACGAGAATCGAGAATGGATTTGATTTCATATTCCTCCTGACCCTCAACCTGGACAGAGAGAGGGGAGGACTCAGCGGAGGAAAATCTGTTACAAACCAAAGGCTTCAACAAAGAAACATGAAAAGAGTTAGGGATGCGCAGGGCAGGCGGAAGGGCAAGACGATACGCAACCGGGTTAATCCGACACAGAACCTTGTAAGGGCCTATGTAACGAGGGGCAAATTTCATGGAAGGAACCTTCAAGCGGATGTTTCTGGTACTCAACCACACCCTATCACCCGGGGCAAAAACCGGAGCCACCCGTCTCCGTTTGTCAGCGTGTCGTTTGAACACCATGGAATTCTGAAGAAGAATTCGTCGAGTCTGATCCCACAACTTTCTCAGATTGGCGACATGAACATCAACCGACGGAACCCCTTGGGAAGGGGAAACCGACGGAAGAATGGAAGGATGAAAGCCATAATTCAAGAAAAAGGGGCTAGAACGAGTAGAATCACAAACGAGATTGTTGTGTGCAAACTCTGCCCAAGGAATCAGACCAACCCAATCGTCCTGGTGTTCAGAAACAAAACAACGCAAATATTGTTCAATCTTTTGGTTGGTGCGTTCGGCAGCTCCGTTGGACTGGGGATGATAGGCAGATGAGAAATTCAACTTGATGCCTAAGTGAGAACAGAAAGACTTCCAAAAGCGGGAAACAAATTGGGAACCTCTATCAGAAACAATTTCAGAGGGAATACCATGTAAACGAAAAATCTCCCTCGCGAATATCTCAGCTAATTCGGGAGACGAGGGCAGTTTAGGCAAGGGCACGAAATGAGCCATTTTAGTAAACCTGTCAACCACCGTGAGAATAACAGTATGTTTTTTAGAGACAGGCAAATCGACAATGAAGTCCATAGCCAAACATGACCATGGTCTCTCGGGAATTTCTAAGGGGTGCAAAAGTCCACAAGGGAGCGCGTGAGGTTGCTTAGTCTTCATACAGACAGCACATGCCCCGACGAAATCCCTTATATCCTTACGAAGGGAAGGCCACCAGAAATCTTTAGAAATCAGGGAACACGTTTTGCGTATGCCGGGGTGCCCAGCAATTTTACTGTCATGAAAGCAATGCAGCAGTTCCACTTGGAGCTCAGGAGGAACGAAGTATCGAGCCCCAGGAACAGGTTTGGGAGCTAGATGTTGTACTTTCTTGATCTCAGCAAGCAACGGCGAGTGTATCCTGACACACGTGTTGGCAATAATATTACACTTGGGAACGATAGAAGACAAAGCTGCTTCAGACACCGTAGAAGGTTCATGTTGGCGGGACAATGCATCTGCCTTAGAGTTCTTAGAACCAGGTCTATAAGTGAGCACGTAATTGAAATGTGTCAGAAACAAGGACCAACGAGCTTGCCTGGCGGACAAGCGCTTGGCCTCCCCTATATAGGACAAATTCTTGTGATCCGTCAAAATAGTAACCGGGTATAATGTCCCCTCCAACAAATGTCTCCATTCCTTTAAAGCCATAATGACCGCTAACAGTTCCCTATCACCAATGTCATATCTACTTTCAGGCCCAGATAATTTCTTGGAAAAAACCCACATGGATGTAACGGTTTATCCAAACCTAGCCTTTGGGACAAGATAGCGCCTATACCTGTCTCCGAGGCGTCTACCTCGAGTAGAAAAGGCAAAGATGTGTCAGGATGAACTAATATCGGTGCTGAGGCAAAATGTTCTTTGAGTGTTTTGAAAGCAGAGAGAGCTTCTGTAGACCAAGTCTTGGTATCAGCACCCTGTCTAGTCATATTGGTAATAGGAGCAATAATAGAAGAGTAACCTTTAATGAAGCGCCTATAATAATTGGAGAATCCGATAAATCTCTGAATGGCCTTGAGTCCCCTGGGCAATGGCCAATCTAAAATCGATTGGAGTTTAATGGGGTCCATCCTAAATCCGTCTCCAGAAATAACGTAGCCAAGAAAGTTTATCTGAGATTGGTCGAAGCTACACTTTTCCAATTTGCAGTACAATCCATGTTGTAACAGTTTGCGCAGTACCCTTCTGACTTGTCTGTGGTGAGTCTCAATCTCTCTAGAGTGTATTAGTATATCATCCAAATATACTATAACGCATTCATGCTGAAATTCCCTAAGAACCTCATTAATAAGGTCCTGGAATACTGCAGGTGCATTGCAAAGCCCGAAGGGCATTACCGTGTATTCATAGTGGCCATAACGGGTATTGAAAGCTGTTTTCCATTCGTCTCCCTGCTGAATTCTCACCAAGTTATAAGCTCCCCTCAGATCT